ATTTTAACCAAAGTTGGAATGAATAAGAAAAGAATGTTAGAAGAAAAGTATGTTGAGGGTTTGTTATGGTTAGTCGATTAGATTTAAAATGAACATTCACTTATTTGTGAAGAATCAAAAAGATCATCAATTCAAGTTTTATGTAATAGTTTACTTGCGACACTAAGTTGTGTTATGCTATTACTTACTGGTGCACCAAATGGAGCTAATGCATGTTTTGGATTATCTTCATTTCAAATTTTCTTGTATGGAATTATTCCTGGGTTTTATTCTTGTACCAATGGAGATACATGGTCTTCTGAAGTTGGGGTTTTGAGTAAAACACAACCATTTCATATCATTACATTCAAACAAGTTCCAGCTGGTACTAACGGTGGTGTAAGTTCTCTTGGACTTATTTCTGGGTTTTGTGGATCGCTCTTGATTGGACTGCTTGGAGGATTGGTATTTTTGATGAACTGTTCATTTGACATAACTCTCTTTGTATTAGTTTCTTCTTCTATTACGATTAGTGGAGTATTAGGAAATTTGTTAGATAGTATTCTTGGAGGAACACTACAATACTCTGGCTGGGATGAAAAACGAAAATGTGTTGTACGTAAATCTGGAGATAATGTAATAAGAATTTCTGGGGTTGATATTTTAAGTAACTCAGCTATTAACTTTATAACGTCTTCAATTTCTGGTATTATTTGTGGATGTCTTTTCCTCTATCTTCGTTCTATTTATTAAATCCTCTAAAAGAATGCATGAATTTTCTTAGTGAAAAAGAATTTACTTAATTTAATCGGTTTTGATTTGTTTTTCATTTGTATCTTTTGGTTGGGAGTTTTCATTTATTTCTTGTTCCTCTTGATGAGACTCTTTCTTTTTGTTTTTAAGAGTATAATAAATAGACCTTAAAATCAACAGAATGGTTGGAAGGTTTGATTTTACTTGATTATCTAATAAATAATTTCTCTTTTGAATGACAATATCTATTGAGTTACCAATTCCTAGAGCAAAAATTGCTAATGATAATGCTAACACATTATATGGCATAGAGAAATCAGGAGCTGGAAGTCCTACTAACAAGTTGTTACTTATAATAATTTCTTGTGTTGATAATATACATTCTACAGATGGAACATCCCATCCACGTTGAGGTTCTTGAGAATGTAATGATCTATGTTGGAAGACATAAGACACATCTACCTCAATATTCAATGTTGAAAGTGAAGGTACTTGAATTTTAATTGGTATACTTACAGCACTAGATTTTTGAGTAGCTTTATGAGGAAGAACAGAATGACAAGGCACAGTCTTATCATTAATAAAACATTTTAACTTCTTTGGGTTGAGGAAATTTGGAATTGAAATAACTAATGAAGCTGTTAGTGAAGTTTTTTCTTTATTTACCAATTCATAACGTAGAGTACCATCACTAATTGAGTCTGGTGAAGGTTTAGAAACATAATAATAACGAGAGTTAATAGAAGTTACTGAGTCTTGATTAGAATCATTCCACGAAAGAGTAAGATTTTTTTTACAGTCAAATGTTTGAAGACTTGTAATTGGTTTACCATTAACAGTTAAACCAACAAACCCATCAACCAAAACAGTACCAGTACAATGTGTTTTGTATACATCAAAGATGTTGTGAGTATGATCAAAAGATTTTCTAACTAACAAAACATCTGCAATAAATTCATCTGGTGATTGTCTGACTTTGAAGGAGTATAATTCACTTTTTAAGATTTCACTATTGAGAAGTTCAGAATGGTCCATTTTAGGGATTAATGATTTAATTCTTATAACATTTTCGAGACAACTCCAATCTGAAGGTGCAGAGATATAATGGGTTACATTCATTTTATGGATTAAGTTGTGAACTTTAGTTGGTTGAACAGATAACCCTTGATAAGCAACGTTTTGAAGTAATGTTGAAAGTGATAAATAATATTCTTTTGTATTTAAATCAGATGGTGCTTGAAGTGCTATGAAAGAACCACTTGAAAGAGCATAAGGTGCTTTACCATATTGAGTTTTCCAATTTCCACGAGTCATAACCACTTCACTGATAGAGACATTATAATGTTTGTTCAGATAATATGTTGCAGGCAAATCATCTCCATCAGGATAGTTTAATATTCCTTGTTGATGGTGTTTCCATTTAAATTGAAGATGATGAAGTACATTACCATTTGGTAATATTTTAACTTCCAATTGTGAAGATGCTAAACAAGTAGATATAATGAAAAGAAACAAAACAAAGTTCATTGTATTAGACTCAATTTTGTTTTTTTAGATTTTTAAAAGACTTTTTGTTTTTTTTTT